TATTCAGGGCCAGGCTCTGTGCTGGGTCCTGGGCACAGGGCAGCCACAAAACAAACTTCCCGTCCTCGTGTGACATCTGGGGGGCAGGAGAGACCATAGACCCACGTGCAAACCCGTGAGTAACCCGGGTCACTTCAGATAGGGGAATGATGAGCTAGAGGCCGGGCTGGTGACTAGGGAAGCCGACCCTGAGGAGGTGGCATTTTATTCTACTCGTATTTCTGGAGCGTCTGCCCAGAGCCAGGTACAAAGCCCTGCCCTCCCAGGCCACCTGTTCTTGCAGGTGAGACAGACAACAAAAATGTAAATATGTAAGTCCAGGCGATGGCATCAGAGAGGGATGAGAGCTGGAAGGAATACAAAGGGTCCTGGTCTGCACGCAGCTGGCACCCAAGGTGTCAGGGGGCCTCTCAGGGGAGGTGGGACAGCCGAGAGGGAGTCCCAGACAGAGGCCAGCAGGTGCCCAGGCCAAAGCCCTTGCGGGAAGAGGAGCTAAGGATCTTCCCAGTCCCAGGAAGTCTGGATTTGGGACATGTTTCCCAACCTGGTTACAGGTGGTGTGACTGTGAAATGAGTGTGTGTCCCCAGGCAACTGCACGTGCGGCTGGCTGCCCTGAGCGTGGCTTGGGTCTGCTACAGGGGAATCTTTCTTTTATTTTATGTGTGTGAGGAAGATTCGCCCTGAGCGAACACCTGTGCCAGCCTTCCCCTACTTTGCATGTGGTCGCCTCCAAGGCGTGGCTGATGAGTGGAGTTGGTCCACACCAGGGATCTGAGCCTGAGAACCTGGGCCACCAGAGGGGAGCGCACAGAACTTTAACCACTAGGCCACGGGCCGGGGCCAGCCACACAGGGGAGTCTTTATATTTTTATTTTTTTATTTTTTATTTTTGAGGAAGATTAGCCCTGAGCTAACTGCTGCCAATCCTCCTCTTTTTGCTGAGGAAGACTGGCCCTGAGCTAACATCTGTACCCATCTTCTTCTACTTTATATGTGGGACGCCTACCACAGCCTGGCTTGCCAAGCAGTGCCATCTCCACACCCGGGATCCGAACCCGTGAACCCGGGGCCACCAAAGCGGGGCTGCGAACTTAACCGCTGCGCCCCCAGGCTGGCCCCCAGGGGAATCTTTAGAGAGAAAAGGTCCCGTCTAAGCCAGTAAGGAGGGCTTGCTCCCAGTGGTGCATCCCTCCTGGGCTGGGCTCGGGGGCAAGGCCAGCTTCATGGGTGTGCGACCCATGCGGGCACCAGGGCTCCACACTTGGGAGGGCCCCAAGCTTAGTTCGATGCTCTACTGTCATTGTCTTGAATTTTTCATAATTAATAACTTTTGAACAAGGGGCCCCGCCAATTCCGTGGCCAGTCCTGCATGGGTGCCAGGCCTGCCTTGGCAGCCAGTCGGGAACCCGGGGAAGCCAGCGTGGGTTTTGGCCGCGGCTGACGGTGGCTGGCCGTGTCCTGACTGTGCCCGCTGGGCACTGTGGAAAATGCCCGGCTGAGTCAACAAAGGGCCTGCTTTGACAGCGGGCCATGGGGACAAGGCAGATCCCGGCCTCCTCGGGTCCCGCCGGGCCCCCCTCACCTCCTGCCACCCCCAGGCCAGCAGAGGACAGAGCTGCCTTTTCAGAAGCCACGCTGGGCAGCCGTAAGCGGTTTAATGACCTCCCCTCCCAGTCTACCACCTTGCAAACTGCTTCCCGCTGAGTCATTTTTTCCCCCAGGTCCTGTCTTTGGTTTAATCGGCCTGTCAGCATTCCCAGGTTAGCATCTCTGGACTGCATGTTTTAATTTTTTTGTGTCTTGTTTTGCTTTTAAACGCTAATAAGAGCTAATGTTTCTTGAACACTGCCTGTGTGCCAGGCTCTGTGCTAGCCACTTGGTATTTGTCTGTTTAATTATTCAACAAATGTGCATCGGGATCCTACACTGAGCCAGGGGTTAGCCCATTGGAGGCCCACAACAGCCCTGGGAGGTCCAAGCTAATATTCCCATTTGACAGATGGCGACACTGAGGCTCGGGGACCCACAAGTGAGGAGGAGTGGGTTGTGCAGGCAGGTACTTGGGGCCCTAAGCCTGTGGGCCAGCCCAGCCAATGGCGCTTTCTGCTCCCCGCCTCCCCATCCTCCCCGCCTTGCCTGGGGCTGCCAGCCCAGGCCTTGCTCGCTGGACTCAGGCAACACTGGGCGCTGGGCTCCTGGAGGTTCCCCTGCCTCCTCCAGACTTTGTAGGGAGGGGTGAGGTGGCAGTGGCCCGGGGAGGGGAGAAGGTGAAGACCAAATCAGAGAGGCCCCTCCGGGGACCTGCTGGCAGAATCCCCCAAGGGTGACCTGGGGAGGTCATTCACCTCCTGACCCTGTCTCCTCACGCCTAAGAACCAGTGGGAACAGTTCACAGTGATGGGGAGGGTATCAAGGCCTCAACACAGTGACCAGCAGCATCCCACACGTGTGTTTGCGAGTTCACTGTCTGTCTCCACTTGATTGGCAACCCCAGGGGGGCAGGACAATCTGGCTTGACCCCCAAGGCTTCCCTGGTGGGGTCTGACCTGCAGCGGGCACTTGGCAAACCTCTGTGGAGTAAATGGGTGGCACCCCACACATAACCATGCAAGTCACATTTTGGGCTGCCTTCGTTACTTGCTAGCAATTCTGTCTTTCCTGCTCGCTCACTCCTTCCACCCCACACAGCTCCTTTTTTCTGGTCACCTGGATGCCTGCCTAGTGACAAGCTTTTAACCAAGTATCAGGAAGCCAGAAACCTGGGGCAGCGCCGCCTCCAGAGAGGAACAAGTATTTGGCCGCCACCAGAGCCAGCACCAGAAGTCTTAACCTTAAAGATGGGAGGGGTGTGTGTGTGTGTGGTCTCTGTTGTGGTTTTGTGGGGGTGTGTGTGTTGCATATATGCGTGGGGAGTATACTTGTGTGTGTGCTGTGGGTGGGTAAGTGTGTGTTGTGTGTGCATATGTGCGTGCCGTGTGTTTTGTTGGTTGTGCCGTGTGTGTCTAGGTGCTGATACAGGAGCACGGGTGAGCTCTCCAGCAGCCGTTTCTCATTTCCAGCAGGGAGCTGGTTTCTACAGAGGAAACAGGGCTTTGGTACCAAGGCAGGAGATGAGGGGCAGGCAGATGGAAAGGACAGAAGGAAACATTGCAGCCAAGTCCTGTCTTCTGACAGCTGGGTAAACTGAGGTCCAGACAGGGACATGACTTGGCCAAAGTCAAGCTGCTGGTTCAGGGCAGAGCTGAGCCCAGATCCTGTTCCTGGGTCCTGGCCCAGGCCCTGCAGGGGTTTGGGTACCTTAAATAGCTTCATATATGGACCTTTCCCTCACAGGCTGAGCCTGAGAGGAGTTTGGAAGATTCCAGATGTTTAACTCATGTCTGAAACACTTCCAGAAGGAACTGTTCATCATTCAAGCTGATTTCACGGCCCAGAAATACCCGGGCAGAGACGTTCTGTGTCTCGTTCTCGTGAAGGATGCATTTACTGTTGTCACGAGTGATTAACAATGTAAAACTGTGATTCTTAGTGGCATAAAAGGCATCCAGGCCAGGCCGGGGCTGGCACTCTGCAGCTCGGTTTTGAGGGGGAGCCAATGAAGACGGAGCTGGGTGTGAGGACAAAGGCCAGGCTAGCCACAAAGGATGTAGAGAGGGCTGTGTCCGCCTGGCTCCGGGCCGGGCCAGTGACAGGCGCCGCACCTAGCACACAGTTCCATACCGTGAGCCAATCGCTGGCCCAGTCCCTGGGCGTACACAGCTGACCCAGCAAGATTTACCCTCTGGGGGGCTCGATCATTCATTGATCATTCCCCAAACTTTGAATTCTGCAAGCCCAAAACTGAGGTCACATAAGTATAGGCCACCACTTGTGACTGTGTGACCTTGATTGGGAAAGTTCATTGATGACTCCAGGCCTCAGTTTCCTCATCTTTAAAATGAAGAGCGTAAAGATGCTTACTGGCTATTGGGAAGATTGAACAGGAAAACTCCTGCATGGCACTTAGCATAGGGCCTGGCTAGGAACAAGCTCTTGAAAAAAGTTAACTATTGCTATTACTGCGTGCTCTGTGCTCCAGGAGCTCCCAGCTCCATTCACAATACAGATAAACCCTATCATCCCCTTCTTCCCTCTGGAGAAGTGAGGCCAAATTGTAATTTGTTATGAATTTGTGAGTTGCTTTGTTCAGTGTCTCTCATGCCAGCTGGACTGTGCCCTGCATGTCCCCAATGTCTGGTCCCCGGAACAGATGCTCAGATGTCCCCAGGGCCTCCAGAATGCCAGACAAGAACTGTAGGAATCCAGAGAAATGGGGCACCATGGTGCCCCCCCACAGTCCCCACAAGGGTCTGGCACCCAGAAAATGCCCTGTGCCTTTCACCTGCGGTCCCTGTGCCAGAGCTGGAGACACGGCCTCTCCACTCTGCACAGGGAGCCTGTGCTCTGCTGGGGGACTTGAGAATGTGTGTCCAGGAGCCGGCTTTGAAATGATGAAACTGTCACTCCTTCTCTGAAGGAGCCACGGGCTACACCTGTCTTGTTCTCTGCTGTGTCCACAGCTCCTAGCATCAACTGGCACATATAATTGCTCATACTATCTGCCGAATGAATGAATGCAAGACAATTTTGCAACGTGTGTTAGGGCCCTAAAGGATGAGTATCCTTGCCCTCTAGTCTCATTTCTACAGCAAAGTTTAAAGAAATAATCAGAGAACTGATTATTAAGGACGAGAATATTGTAAAAGCATTTTGTAAAAGCTTCATTTGTAGAAGCAAAACCGCAGTGAAATTAAGAAAAAAATAGGGGATTGGTTAAATAAAGAATGTAAAAGATAACGCAATTGTTAAAAGCCATGTTTTCAGAGATTATTTGATGATACACAGAAAAGCCCTTTATAAATTTAAAAATAGGCGCAGAACCGATCCTAATTTTGTACAAATAAAATTATATTATTAGAAAAAAGACTGAAATGATATATGCCAAAATGTTAACAGTGGTTAGCTTTGTGTAATGGATTAAATGAAATGTACATTTCTCTTATGTTATTTTCTGTAGTTTCTACAATGAAGGTTAATTTAAAATATTTTTTAAAGGTTACTTGGAATTGCGTCTGAAGCAACATGAGCATCTTCTCCCCTGTGGCTCCTTTAACTCCAGCGAGGACGCCGAAGAGGCGGGGGTGCCAGACACGGCTGACGTCACGGGCAGCCCGAAATGACAAAGCGGACGGGCCAATCCCAAGTTCGGATTCTGCGAGAAGCCATCCGATTGGACACGAGTGCGGGCGCCCTTGCCCAATGGTGGAAGAGGGGCAGGAGCCCGGCGGCCGCGTGGGTTTTAAATCCATGTGGCGGCGAGAGGGCGGCGGTGGCTGCGCCTCGTGGGCTTGAGTTCGCTCCTTGGCTGGGGAGGCGTGCGTGGGGGCCGTCGTCCGCGCCGCTTACGGTCCTGGGCCGGTGGCTCCGCCTCGCCGCGCCTATTTGCGTCAGCAGGTGCCTTATAGGGTCTTGCGGGGACCTAATGGCGTTCATGCATTCGACAGAGCTTTACTGAGACTCTGCTCTGTGCCAGGCAGGGCCTGGTGGGATCAGGGAGAACCCACGAAAGACACGCTGTGAATGCCACGTTTCTGTGTAAGCATGGGCGAGTGGCCTAACCTGACCTCCCCAACTGCCCTGCTCCGACGGGGCTCTGCTCTGTCCCCCGTCCAGGGACAGGAGCTGCACGGGGGAGGGGCTGAGGGGGGAGAGACCGTGTGCCCTGAGAAGGACTGCCCCGTGGTTTATGTTCAGTATGTACTTGTTGAATAGTTATTTTAAAGACCAATTAGCGCAGCGCTTGCCACATCGTAGGTTTGATAAATGGTAACTGCTCGTGCAATAAAGCACAGCTACTATAGATTTCATGCTTGTTATATGCAAGGCATTGTTCTGGCCATTTTACATGTATTACCTAATTTAGTATTCACAAAATTACATCTTATCTAACTTAATATTCACACAATTACAAGTCTTCTCTAATTTAATATTCGCAAAAAAACCCCAAGTGTTATTGTTATCCCCATTTTACAGGTGTAGAAATGGAAGCAGAGGAAGGCCGGGTAACTCTTGAGAGGTTTTACGGCTGGGAGGTGGTAAGGCAGGATTCAGACCAGGTCTGTCTGTTCCCAGAGCCCTTGGTCTTAACCACTGCACTCTCACGAGGTTTATCCAGAACTCAGTCTTTCTTTTCTAAGAAAATTCTCATAAATCAGGTCTGTGCTACTGGGAAACGAGAGAGAAGGGAGGGAGTAATAATCGGGTAGGTGAGGCACAGCCAAGCGAGGTGGGCTCCTGCCGCCTACTGCTTTGTCCATCCCTGCTGGGTGGCAGAGGTCAGAAGAGGAGTGAGTACACTGGGTACCATTGGGGCTGCTCCTCCCATAAACAGCCACCTGCATGCCAAGCCCTGTGCTGGGCTAGGGCAGGGGTATACTGGTGGGCATGACAGACCTGTCCCTGCCCTCATGAGGCTGGCAGTCTAAAACAGCAACCTCTAACTGGTGACCTGCGGGCAGCCCGCAGAAGTGTTCTTGGCTTTGCCTGCCTGATGTTTAAAATTTTTCTGAACTTTTTGACATAAGTTGCCACAGTCCCCACCCCTCCCTATTACATCACATATGTCTATTTTATTTATATGTGCCTGCCAGCATCTGAGTGTCTTTGTCCGCTCCCATGAAGGAAGTCCCCAGCTGGGGCCAGGCATCGGAAGACCAGCCTCCTCTGGGCTGGCACGAAGGTGAGTGCTCTGGCCTTCTTTGCCTTGCCTCCCATCTGTGTTTGAAATCCCAGAAGCTCTACCTTGAGCCCTGAAGCCCTTCGATTCCCAAAGCTGAAAACCTCTCCACTGGCCCTGATGTTAGGCAGCCCCCGGCTGGAAGACCAGAAAAGTCTGGTGGTGGATGGCAACTCGCGGTCAGTCAAACTGGATGCACATCCCAGCTTCACTGCTTACCAGCCGAGTGATGCTGGGCAAGTTATGAATACCTGCTTCCGCTTCCTCTGCAAAATGGGGGTAATAATAGTTTTCTCTTCCTTGGGTTATGGGAGGAGTGAGTCGGATGATGTAGGCAGGATGCTTGACACGGAGGAGGTGCTCATCACATGGGCTGCTGATCTTTGGGAGGCAATTCTTTTAGAGCCACTGTCACTGTAAGTTCTTCCTTATATCAAGCTGAGGTCCGCCTGCTTTATAACTTCCATGACTTCATGCTCCTGGCCGCATAAATGTGCTTCTCTTTCCACAGAACAGTCCTTCAGAAACTGAGGACCAAGCTGAACATCACAGCTGCCCATTCAAGACCTGCTACATAATTTGTGGAGCCCAGTGCAAACAAAAATTGTAGAGCTCCTTGTTCAAAACTTAAGAATGTCAAGATGATGACGGCAGAGCTCAGAGCCCTTCTGAGGGTGAAGTGCCATGTGACTGCACATGGCCCACCCCGTGCTCCCACTGGTGGTCCATGGTCCTGTGTTGTCCTACGGAACCTACGAGGCTGGATGGGGTCTGCCCAGAGCAGGAGAGAGCCAGGCGAGTAGCCAGCTGGGCCACGCAAAGGGCACCTGCAGGCATGGTCTGTGTCCATGCAGCTCGCCTGGGCGGCCTGGCTTGCAGCTCCTATCCTGCCACCTGCCATAGAGCTGCCGGCTCTCTGCCCCCTTGCCTTTATGTTTGTTATTGTGATAGAACGTGTATCTAGAATAAAGTGCACAAGTCCAAAGTATGTGGCTGGATGGTTTTTTACATTGTATGAACCTGTGTAACTGTCACCCAGATCAGGAGGGAGCATTTCCATGTTCTCAGAAGTTCCCTCCAGGCCCGTCCCAGTTACTCCCCACTCTGCCCTGTTGCAGAGGGAGCCACATGCTGACTCCTTTCACCGTGGGTTTGCCGCGCCTGTTCCTCAGTCCATATAAACAGGATCATGTGTGGTGTGCTCTCTCGTGTCTGACTGTGTCGCTCACTCTGAAGTCTGGGAGACTCTCCCTTGTCGCTGTAATCTGTGGTTTGTTCCTTTTCATCACGTGTGGCATTCGTGATACACTACCGTTTATCCATTCTCCTCTTGGTCCCTTATTGATGTTGGTTGTTTCCAGCTGTTGGCTGCTTCCGGCAGGGCCGCTGTGAGCATTCTGGTGCTGGGCTCGGCGGCGCTCATGGCGCCTGTGGGCACTCATTTCTCCTGGGCTCGCTGCCGGGATTGGGGAGGCTGGGTTGGAGGTAGGCCTGCATTCAGCTTTAGTAGACGTTACCAGACTTCTGGAACGGACCGAAGGAAGCCGAGTGTGGGGACTCACACTTGCTGCTCCTCACTGGCCACTCTCGAGCCCTTTCCTGACCCTGAGCCTTTGGCCACCAGCACCAGGGCTCCCCTCCCACTCAGGGTCACTTGCAAATTTGACAAGCGTGGGTTCGCGGACTTTGTCTATGTGATGGATGAAAACCCTGAACAGGACAGACCCCGGTGCAGGGAGGGCCCAGGATTCTCTCGCACGTTTCCCTCGAATCAGGTCTCCAGTCTTTCATGAATCTCTCCCAACATGAGCATCGTGCACTTTCTATTTCCACACCATGAACAGGAGGGTATCTGATCTTTTTAAAGTCACACAATCTATTTAAAAACAACTTTTGGGGGGAAAAGAAGAGGCAGAACAGATGTGTGACCGTGTTAAATATACACAGTGATTGTAGGTTGCAGCTAAATGTCTGAATGATTAAAATCCAAAAAAAAGCATCTCAGAAACACGACAATTTAATACCCCAGCCCTTAGGGCGCATTCACTGTGGGAGGCCCCGTGCTGGGCATCTCACACCTGGAGCATCTCAGGGTAAATGGCCCAACACCCCGAGGAGGTTGGTATTCTCCCCCCATTCTACAGATGAGGAAACTGAGGCTGGGGGTTGTAACTTGCTTGAGGTCTCACAGCTGGTGAAGGATGGATTTGACCCCAAGTCCGTCTGTCCCCAGATCCTCAGCTGTTGACCTTCTGAGAAGACCTTCCCAGATGCGGGCTGGGCTCTGACGGATGGCCCACAGCGGGCACCGAGCTGGCGGCCTGTTGGCTGTGTCTTGCTTGATCTACAGAGCGTTTTAAATTTTAAAAAATAGTTTATTTAATAATGAGGGTATTTCACATTAACAAATCTGCATTTCTGGCTCTTCCTGATAACTCAAAAGATTAGACCATCCCTGAGAGAGCTGAGTAGCTGCTGTCTCCTCCAGGTGAGGATCCAGGCTCTGGTTTACTCAGTGTCCCCACTACCCTCTCCCTTCACCAACCCTCCCAGCCTGGCCCACAAGCATCAATCACCAGGGCCTGCCAGTCGGGTCTCATGGAAAAAGAAAGTGATGTTTCATCTGCATGAGCCTTTGCCGGCTCCCAGGAACCGCCACTTTCTTTTTTCGGCCCTCGGGGCAGGGCCCCTCCCAGGTCTGTTCTCGATTATTGCAGGGGAATTCCAGATGGTCATTTGATTGTTTGATCAGGGGAGTAACCATTCACCTATTTTGAAACTCCATTCTTTGCAGGTGTCATTAAGTTAAGGATCTTGACATGGGAGACTAGCCTGGACTATCCAGGTGGGCCCAATGCAGTCACAAGTGTCCTTGTAGGACAGAGGCAGGGTAGAGCTGACAGGCACCAATAAGGCCATCTGCCCTCAGAGGCAGAGACTGGAGTGATCTGGCCGCAAGCCAAGGAGCAAGGACAGCCACCAGAAGCTGGAGGAGACAGGGGAAGGATTCTCCCAGAGCCTCTGGAGGGAATGTGGCCCTGCCGACATTTTGATTTTGGCCCTGAGATAGGATTTCAGACTTCTGAGCTCCAGTACTGTGAGAGAAGGAATTCATATTGTTTTAAGCCACCAGGTTTGTGATACTATGTTAGGGCAGCCCCAGGACACAAAAGCAGGAGCTTTGGAACCCTGTTCTTCCAAGGCCTGGACGGCACGGCTCCCATTTCGGCAGCCACTGTGAGGGAGATGCAAAGGCGAGCCAAAAATATCTTGTCTTTCGGGTGGCTTAAATCAACAGACATTTCTTCCCTCGCAGTTCAGGAGACCAGAAGCCCACAATCAGGATGCCAGCAGGTTGTTTCTTTGGGGGCCCTGAGAGAATCTGCTCCAGGCCTCTCTACCAGCTTTGCATGGCTCCAGCCATTCTTGCTGTCCTTGGCTTGTGGAGGCCTCACCCCAATCTCTGCCTCCATCGTCACATGGCCCTCTTTTCTTCACATGTCTCGGTGTCTTCACATGGCTTCTTACAAGAACACCTGTCATTGGATTTAAGGCCCACCCAAAACCAGGATGACTTCCTCTTAACTAATGACATCTGAAAAGACCCTATTTCCAAATATGGTCGTGTTCTGAGGTTCCAGGTGGACATGAATTTAGGTGGACACTATTCAACCTGGGAACCCCCTCTTCCCAGCAGGTACAACCTTTGGTTCTGAAATGGGGACACAAGTCACAGTGGATGGGTACATTTACCCCAGGGCTCCTTTTCCTGGAAAAGTTGCTGTTGAAACTGGCACATTGATCGCTTCTTAGAATCTAAGAAAGACTGTGTAGGTTTCCTTTGAAGAATGCCGGTATAGCCAGCACGTCGACCAGACTTTTGCTGTTTATTCCTTCCTTCAGTGTTCCGGCCTCGGCTGATCTGGTTCCGAGCGGACACACGCAGACCCTGCCCTCGTGGGGCGCGTGGTCCAGGAGAAGGGACACCCACAAGTCCCTGGACAGCTCCTCCCTACGAGAAGTTATCAGGGACGCAGACAAAAACACAGATGCCCATCCTGGACCAAACTGCAAATCGTACCCCTTTCTCCCCACCCAGAGCCTGACAGCCATTGGAATTCCAAACCTGCCGACCCCCGACCCCCCTCCCTCTCGCACTGGGAGCAAAGCAGGCGGCCTTCGGTTGAGTCTGCAAGACAGACGGGCCTCCTGTGAGCCGGGCACCTCCAGCTGAGCCTGGTGAGGAGTCTCCCGGGAGAAGCAGCTGCAATCCTAGGATGCCTCCCCTTGCCTTTGACTAAGTCAGCTCCCCTGCACGGGTCCTCAGGGTGCCTGCCACCCACCTTGCCACCCCACCAGCCTGATTTCCTCCTGCTTCCCCTTCTCAGTACCCAAAGCTGCATGGCCTTGGACATGACCCGCTGCTCCCACCCCAAGGCCTTTGCTCTTGCTGTTCCCTCTGCCTGCAATGGTCTTCTCACGGTCAACTCCTTCTCATCCTCAGGGCTCAGCACCGTCACCTCCTCTTGGAAGCCTTCCCCACTCCCTGCTGTGTCCCACCCCATGGCCCAGTTTCTTCCCCTTGAGTCACCAGCAAGAAGGCATGAATATTGATGTGTTTGTTTCCTTGTTGTTGTCTTTGCCTCACTAAACCCTACGCACTGTGGAGACAGACCCGTCTGGCTTGTCGGCTGTGTCACCCCAGCTTCTAGGTGGTGCAGGGAAGGCCCAGGGGTGCTGCTGAAGGAAGGTGTCCGCTGAGCTCAGGCTCGTCCCCACAGGGCAGCCAGCCTCAGAGGAGGCGACCCGCGTGCTCTTCTCCTGCAGGTGGGTCTTCATGCTCCCGGTTCAGATCGCCTTTTGCTTGAGTCACCTTGAGTGATCTCCCAGGGGGCAGAGTGACCAGGCAGCCGGTGTGGGAGCCGGGAGACAGCTGTCTGAGGTCAGCAGGGCTGTGTGGGCTTCTCCGGCTGGACCAGCCCTACTTGTCAGTCCGGTGAGGTCCCTGCGCCCAGGAGGCAGCCGCGGACGGCGTTCTCGCTTTGAGCTTTAGGGGCCTGTCTGGGTCCTACAGGGGCAGGTGGGCAGGGCTTCCTTTGTTTCCCAGAGGGTCTGGTTCCTTTGGGGCAGGGTCTCCGCTGGCCAGTGTGGAAGGCACACTGCGCCCACCCGCAGGCCGTCAATGCCCCTGTGTTCACGGCCGGGACAGCCTGTCGCTCTGGCCTGTGGGTCCTGAAATCATTTGGTCAAACGGACTTGGGAGGGAGAGAGCAAAGGGCGCGTGGTGTCACAGAGAGAGCGCGGGGTCTGCAGGGGGCCAGCCCGCGGGTGTCAACAACGATGACAACGAATTCAGCCTGGTTCCTACTGCGAGCTGAGCACTGTTTTCAGGTCTTCACCTGAGTTATTTCACGAGACCCTCATGAGACCCCTACGACGTGGGCCTCATTACTGTCACCCTTTCGCAGACATGGAATCAAAGCCCAGAGAGCAGCGTAGGTCGCATGTCCCATTAGTGGAGTCAGAATTGGAATCCAGGCTGTGAGGTTTTAAAGCTGATGTTCTAACCCATTCATGGAAGGACTCAGATTTGGATTCAGAAGACACCACTGGGTTGAGAGGAGGATGATGATGGCAACAACAACAACGATGGCAGTAATAATAACACCAACAATGCCAATGGCCCCAGCCACCTGTGAGCCCAGCCCTGAGTGGGGCCCTGTGTTGAGAGCTGCATGCCCCCTGCTGTGTCCATCCCTCCCAGCAGTTTCCCGTGGCCAGGACAACATGGGTGCACAGGTGACACGTTTGTGGACTTGCTGGGCAGCCCTGGGTGGCAGTTGTTTTCATCTCCCTTTTGCAGATGAGATGACCGAGGCTCAGAGAAGTGAACGTGCCCAGGGCCTGCCCAGCTTGGGGCTGGGGCCGGCTTCCGGTCTGGGAGGACGTGTCCATCAGGCTGCTGGGAAGTCAGGCCAACAGGGAAGG